CATCTGCGCCCATGCCCCGACGGAAGAGAATGATGAGGCATCCAAGGATCTCTTCTATGAGCGCTTGCCCCCGTCATGAAATCAAAATCGTGCTTAGCGACTTCAATGCCAGGATGGGCAAAGAAGGGATCTTTGGAACCATCGTCGGAAAATTTAGCCTCCACGATGAAACGTCCGACAACGGATTGAGGCTGATCAACTTCGCCGGGGCCCGCAACATGGTAGTATGCAATACTAGGTTCAAGCATAAAAAGATCCATCAAGCTACGTGGCTCCCTCCGGATCGAAAGACGAGAAACCAAATCGATCATGTTGTGATAGACGGAAGGCACGCTTCCAGTGTTTTAGACGTACGGACACTCCGAGGCCCAAACATCGACTCCGACCACTATCTTCTTGCAGCCAAGATACGCACCCCCCTCTGTTCAGCAAAAAATGTGCGCCGAAATATGCAAGGAACTAACGTCGAAAATCTGCAATCACAACAGACAGCCAGCGCTTCCGCTACTCGACTCTCACACCTGCTCTCAGAGAGCACTCTTAAACAAACCGACATATGCGACCAGTGGAACCACATTTCCCGCTCATTAAGTACCGCCGCCGAAGAAGTTGTCGGATTTCAGCGAGCCCGAAAGAACAACTGGTATGATGAGAAGTATAAGGAAGCTGCAGAGAAAAAAGAGGCCGCCTACAGGGCCACGCTACGATCGGGCGGAACGCGCGCTATGTGGGACCGCTATAGGGATCTAAAGAGGGAAGCGAGACATATTTGCCGCAATAAGAAGAGAGAGGCCAAAATACGTGAGTGCGAAGAGCTTGAAATGCTGGCCAACAGGAAGAATGCCCGAAAATTTTACCAAAGAGCTAGGCGACTTGCGGAAGGTTTCGATGTTCAGAGCGTACTTAAATTATGGAGGGAACACTTCTCCGCCCAACTGAATGGTAGCAGCACGGAAAGTTGTAGAGAAGAAGAACCCGAGCCCGTAGTCGATGATGACGGAGTCGACGTTCCACCGCCTGATTATTACGAGGTACGATTAGCAATAACGCGGCTGAAAAAGAAAAAAAAAACTGCTGAAGCTGACAGCCTGCCAGCTGAGCTATTCACGGACGATGGCGAGGAGTTGATGAGGTGCATGCATCAACTCTTGGTCAGAATATGGTCAGATGAACGTATGCCCGACGACTGGAATTAAAGTGTGCTGTGCCCAATCCACAAGGTGACCCCGTCATTCGCGCCAACTACCGCGGGATCAGCCTTCTTTTTTTTGTGTGAAAGACTGAATCCCACTGTCAATGAACTGATTGGGCCATATCAGTGTGGCTTTAGACCTGGCAAATCCACCATAGACCAGGTATTCACAATACGCCAAATCTTGGAAAAGACTCGCGAGAAAAGGATCGACACTCACTACCTGTTTGTCGACTTTAAAGCCGCTTTTGACAGCACTAAAAGGAGTTGCCTACACGCCGCTTTGTCTGAATTTGGCATCTCCTCAAAACTCATACGGCTGTGTAAAATGACGTCGAGCCGGTCGAAATTTTATATTATCATTTTGATATTATGTCTAAGCGAATTCAAATATAAGACCACCTACAAAACAACATGTAAACACATAATCAAATATGTAATGTAATAAAATAAGTAAATAAATAAAAATATAAAAAAGGAACAGTCCGGCGCTTTCGTCTTGGTCTGCAGGCTGTATCGGAGATACAGCCGCTAAATTTAAACGTAGAATACGTGGTATGGTTAAGAGCATATCCAAGTCAAAAACAAAAGCACACGCTAAGAAAAAAATATCGATAACAAAAGCGATAATAATATCGATAGCAATTTCTCAACCAAAGTCGGCTTGGTTTATCGTCTTCATACAGCAATAAAAAAAAAAATGGAACATCGAATTTCAGAATAAATCCTTGTGCTGACTACACACGGGGCAATCGTTGAAGCAACGTGTTGAGCCAACGTAATTTTGTTGTTGAACACACACGAGGCAAGCGTAGAGACAATTATTACGGCAACTTTCTACAAAAACACCGTACTAGGTCTTTATCGCCAAAAAGGAACTAGTCCGATAGGATCTAGATCCCCTCCAGTCCAAAATCTGCGAAAAGTGGTACTTTTAAAAAACTATTTATTTCAGTTTTTTTCACTATCTATATCTAAAGTGACGAACTTAGAACTAGTTCGGAACTAAAGAAAAAGGGTGTGGTTGTTCGGCGGCTTTTTCGTTCAAATACGCTTCTATTCTGCACCTTGCAGATGCTTTTTTATAGCTTGGTAATACAAAACCAAAGTTTGTGTTAACATTTCAACATCTTGGGACCGTCTGGAATCTAACAAATAACAGCGAGCACCTCTGCAAACTCAGCTACAGCTAAAGGTATGTAAACGTACATTTCTTACAATCATTCAAACAAATTTAGTTTCAAATTGAAAACACATTTCTTTCAAAATAACTTAAAGAACCAAAAAGATTGAAAAATCATGATACTTTTTTCTTTCGTCTGTCGATTTTAGAACTGGTTCGGAACTATAGAATATAGGAGTAGTTCGGAACTAACGAAAAAGGGATGCAGGGGGGGGGCAATTGACACTTCCTTAGGACATCGCCATGTTTAATTCGCCAGCTGCTTGCATGCAAAAGAGATTTATCGCGAACCAGTACTGGGTCTAAATGTACTAGACGCGCACCAGTTCAGAACTAGAGATTTTCCCCCACAGGGTACATACATAGTTATGTATACATATCCACATGTATATTCTTTTCAGCATGGGTTAAAGAAGATTTGTCGAAATTGAAAGTGTACAGGTTCTTAGAAACCTCTTCAGTTTTCAAGTACAGTTCAAATAGACACTCATTTTAAATCACCACGATTGGATCAATTAACTCTTTTGATAAGATTTTTTTTATTAAAGGCACTGTAGAAAAATGATAAATTATTAAATGGCGTGTACAATATGCAATATCTTTTTCATACGGAGAAACTTAAATTGCTATTTTTGGGTAGGAATTTTTAAAAAAATTTGTAACAGCGATTTTTTGATGCAGTTTACCTCTATTTGGCACGTAGATTATGGATCCACAGTTTCGCCCCTTAATTTCATTTGGCAACATTCCGCCATCTTGGATTTTATTTTTTTTTGGGGTTTTTTGAAATTGGCAAGCTTATTTTGCATTTTTCGTTTAAAATACAAATACATATGTAGAGAATTTCATTTCCCACATTTTTTATGTAGAAGGTTTTTTAAAAAAAAAGAAATTTTTTGTAAAAAAAATTAGCAAAAACTGCGAAAAAATTTACATGGTCACGGTTTTTGTAATTTTTTGACAATTTCTGTTGAAGCATATTGAAATTCCAAAGTTATAGAGAATTTCATTCCCCACAATTCTTGTATGTACCTACATTTGTTTTATACGACGCTTGGATCACGGCCGGCAACGCGATAAACATAGCGTTGCACGGAATACGCCGTAAAACTCATTTCTCTACATATTTGTATTTAACTATTTTTACGAAAAATGCAAAATAAGCTTGCAAATTGCAAGAAACCCCAAAAAAATAAAATCCAAGATGGCAGAATGTTGCCAAATAAAATTTAGGGGCGAAACTGTGAATCCTTGATCTACGTGTCAAATAGAAGTAAACTGCATCAAAAAATCGCTGTTACAAATTTTTTATTTTTTTCCTACCAAATTTATCTAATTTTACTGGGCTAATCGCTATGTTTGGCACGTTCTCGGCCGTGATCTAAGCGTCGTACAAAAAAAAAATGTAGGTGTAAAAGTTGTGAAAAATTAAATTCTCTACAGCTTTTGAATTTCAATATGCTATGTACTTTCAACAGAAATTGTAAAAAAATGGCAAAAACCGTGACAACGTAAAATTTTTTCGCAGTTTTTGTTAAGTTTTTACAATAAAAACAATCTACTTTTAAACAACCTTCTATATAACAAATGTGGGTAATTAAATTCTCTACATATTTGTATTTAACCATTTTTTACGATAAATGCAAAATAAGTTTGCAAATCGCAAAAAACCAAAAAAAAACTTAAATCCATGATGGCGGACAAATGAAATTTAGGGGCAAGACTGTGGATCCATGATCTACGTGTCAAATAGAAGTAAACTGCATCAAAAATTTTTCTTAAGAAAAGTTTTTATTTTACTGGGCTAAAATTGAAAACACATTTCTTCGAAAATAATTTACATAAAATCGCACACTCAGAAGAACCGAAAAGATTGAAAAATCGTGATACTTTTTTCTTTCGTCTTGTTGATTTTAAAACTGGTTCGGAACTATAGAATTTAGGACTATCGAAAAAGGGATGCAGCCGAGGGCAATTGGCAATTCCTAGGACATCGCCATGTTAAATTCGCCAGTTGTTTGCATGCAAAAGAGATTTATCGCGAACCAGTACTGGGTCTAAATGTACTAGAAGCGCACCAGTACTGGAACTACCCACTAGAACTTGAAGAGATATCTCTCAAATTGAGGAACAAAAGAATACTCCCTTCAACATGATCTCGTAGCAGTAACCGAGATTTTTCGGTTTTATACTCCACTATTACTAGTTTAGAAAAAAACAATTATGCATCCAAAATGAGCAATAAAGTAATGCTCCTTGAGACATAATTTTAGAGCAATACACTATATTTTTTTGATTTTGCACTTCATTGATACTCGCTAGAGAGAAAAATTTTCAAAGATAACATTAAAAGACTGCGACCGTCAATTACTTCAGTTTAGATTTTCCTACACGGCACATTCACAACTTAAGTGTATCAAATCTGGCGCGTGGATGTTGAAGATGCCAATCATGTTTATTGAACTTCAATTCAAATAGTAAATAATTAATTTTCACGCATTAGTATAAAAAGTAAATGGCATTAATATAACTTACAGTGAAATAAATTATCCAATCCTGTGAAGTCGGGCAAAACATTTCTGTCTAACTGTGTGTCTGTTAATTTAAGTAAATTTTAACAGAACGATGCACTTTCGTAACAAAATTTTTGTAAATTGTATCACAATTATAGTCATATTTGATAGTTTTTTCTCAGAAACTCAAGCTCGTATTTATAAAAAATGTATATTGGCCCGTAAACTTTATCGCCTGGGCATGCCCTTCCACGAACTAGACGATTGGATGTGCCTGGTCGAAGGCGAGAGCTCTTTCAACACTAAAGCTATAAATCCATCGAACGTGGATGGTTCGGTCGATTGGGGACTTTTTCAAATCAACGATCGTTACTGGTGCAAACCGTCTGATGGGCGGCCATCTATTGATTCGTGTCGTCTTCCTTGTAGGCTGTTGTTGAGCAACGATATCCGATTCTCGGTAGCATGTGCAAAGTATATCCGTCGCATACAAGGCTTCAGCGCATGGGTTGCTTGGAATAATCGATGTCAAGGTCATAAACCAAGTGTAAAATATTGTTTCGTGCACAGTGGACCGTATTAAAATTAATATATCTAGAATACTGTTCTTTATAGCGATAATATTAAATCCATAAATGCAATACTAATCATAAATACTAGTAAAGGTTAAATACCTCATGCACTAAGAAAAAAGTGTAATTATTTTTTCAATAAAAACACCTACCGATAAAAAAAATTTGAGGCAAGCTTTTATTAGTGGTAAAAAAAA